CGAAAGAGGCGACCGTTTCACACTTTTCAGCCCCCCAGGGACTGCGAGGTCCCGTTTGGGTCTGCGCGGGACCCCACTGTGTTGGCTCCCCCAGCAGCCCTCGAAATTGGCGACAGTTTCACACTTCGCGGCCCCAAAGAGGGATGCGAGAGGAGAGAGCCCAGAGGAAAGCGGGGGTGGGCAAGGAGGAGATGAAGGTGGAGACCCCATTGCTCTAATCAGAAAGAGAACCCAACCAAGGGAGGGTTGGGAAGTATTCCCACTGAGCCCTTTTATATCTGATTACCCCTGGGCTGTATTTGGTTTGAGCTTGCCACAGCAGGCGGGGGGGGGGGCGACGTTTATGACCACCTCCAAAGTTCACATCGTAGCTCTGACCTTCAAAACATGCATAGCACCATGAGCAATCTGTGGTTTCACTTTGTGTGAGGATGTCTCGGGCGAAACGCCCATGTTCGAAGATTGATTTGCCGAGTTCGCGACCAGCAGCTTTTCGAGGGTGTCTCAAGCAAAACGGCTGCTATTGTAAAACGCACAGTCGCGAAAAAGAACTGTCTGCTCCTCCTCCCTCTCCTCCTCCTCCTCCTCCTCCTCGTCCTCCTCCTCCTCCTCCGCCTCCGCCTTTTCTTCCTGCTCCTGCTACTCTCCTTCTTTCTTTCTTCTTCCTTCTCGCCTTCGTCTTCCGTTCCTCCCTCCTTCCTCCGTCCCCGGCCCGAACTCTTGTATTTCAAGCGTTCATTATCTCCAGACAAGCAACGACCATGAGTAGTCCTAGGCGACGAGTTTGAAACCACGACGGACCCTTTATTTAGTTTTGCACCTCCAATTTGGTAAGTCTGACACCTGTTTTTCTGATGTCCCGGAATATCTCCTTGTCCTTCTCACGTCTCTTCTAGGGAGGCCCTCCCGAAAGGACTCATTGTACCATTTCACTACGGTCTTGCACCGGATTTGTGCTCATCAGGCATTTCCAAGGAGGCGCCCTGGGAGGGACAATGTACCATTCCAACAAAGTCTGTCGTAGGAGTTGTACTCTTCCCACATCTCCAGGGAGGCCCTCAAGAAGGATCATGAGGGCTCCATCATGGAAGTCGTTGAAGGCCGATCCAGACATCCTTACAGCGGTATCTCCAGGAAACACATGTTATCCGTTTCTAGGCCCCCGACTTTCGTATCCGTGCGGGATTATGATAGCCGGCATAGGGCGATGGAGGAATGTTCAAACTCAAGGATCGTGTCGGGTCAGTGTTTGCCGGGGTGATTTCGGGTCAGTCACCTCTCTACCAAGTGGCCACGCGTTGAATATTTTGACGAGTATGCATCCATATACGTAGACACTAGGCTCAACTCTGCAAAGTTGTATTTCGCGTTGCCCACACTTGTCAATTCATCGACTTCGTCGAATTCGAATTTCGTCGACCTACGAAAACGTCGGTTCCTCGAATGGTCGCTGCGTAGAGAAAGACAACTTTAAAACAAAGGGGGAAGTGTTGCGGTGCGGGGCAGGGGAGAGGCAAAACCCTTCCCCGACAGGGAAGTTGGACGATGAAGAGGAAACTCGCTCCACTCACGCCAAAAGAGCTGCTGAGATTACTTGCGGAGGTCGCTTGTGAGCGAAGCACTTCGCACCGCCGTCCCCATCTATCTATTGTCAGTGCGCCCACGATCCGCATCCCCGACGGAGAAAACACACACACACACACTCTCGGAGGCCCGCGCGGATCTCTGTGGTCGGCGCTGGACCCCCCCCCGGCGGCACCTCCGTCGCCCACAATAGCGCGGACCCCTATGGTGCCAGGGATGGGGCCAATGAATCCGCCCGGACCTCCGAGCGTTTGGGTGTATGCAGCTTCCCCTGGAAGCCACCGACTTGCAAGGGCTGCATCTGATGACTCAAACGCCCAGTGAGGGAGCCCAGGCCCTCGAGATCGGTGGCCCACCGTGGCCCCCATCGCGGCCCCCAGTCCGTGCAGCCGCGCGCGGCTGCTCGGGGTCGTCCGCCGTTGGGCGCAAGGTTTACCTGCAGGTGAGCTCCCTGCCCGCAGTTCTCCCCCGCCCGCCTCCCCCTCCCGCACGCACACGCACACGCACACACACACACACACACAACACACACGCACACACACACACACACCACGCACGCACGCACACACGCACGCACATACCACACACACACACACCACACACACACACACCGCACACGCACACGCACACGCACGCACGCACACGAACGCGCACGCGCACACGCACACGCACACGCACACGCGCGCACACACAAGGATTGGCTAGCCGTGGTCTACGGCCTACAGCCTGTGGTTTCTGCGGAGCTTCAGGACGTGGCGCGCGCCAGTGGACACACACACGCGCGCACGCACGCACGAACACACACACACACACACACACACACACACGCTCTGATTGGGCGTCCCTCTCACGCACGCAGCGGTGCGGCTGAGCGAGGGGTCGGGCGCAGAGGTGCACGGCCGGGCGAGACCACGCGGCACACGCACACATTCGCAAACACACACACGCACACACACACGCACACGCACACGCACAGACACACACACACACACACACAGACAGACAGACAGACAGACAGACAGACAGACAGACAGACAGACAGACAGACAGACAGACAGACAGACAGACAGACAGACAGACAGACAGACAGACAGACAGACAGACAGACAGACAGACAGACATACAGACACACACACACACACACGCACACGCACACGCACACGCACACGCACACGCACACGCAGACTCTCCGCGGGGCCGGCGCGCGAGTCTCTGCGGCCCAGTCTCTGAGCTTTTCTCTCTATTCCCGCTTCCTCACCTCGCTCCTCGCCCCTCCCCATCGCCTGTTGCTCCTGCCTCCAGCTTCTCCCTCCCTCGTCCCTTCTCCCACTCTTCTCCTGCCAATCCTGGCCCCCCCCCTCTTCCTGCTGCTGCCGTTCCTCCTCAATCCCCTCTCTCTCTTACTCCGTTGCCCCCTCCGTCTCCCGCTCCCGCTCCCGATCCTGCTGCTCCCTCGCTTGCTGCCCCTGCTGGTCCCGCAGCTCCCGCCTCCCCCTCGACAGACATCTACGAGGGCCGCCTGGTCCACACGGAGACGTGCGGGCCCGTGCGCATCGACTCCCAGACTGGCGAGTCTACCCTGGAGGTGCTCGACACCACCGGCTTTGTGAAGGACGACCTCGTCTTCGTCGACGGCCCGTCGAGAGAGTACGCCGTCGTCAAGGAGGTGGTGAGCAAGTCGATGTCGAGCATGTCGATGCACGGTGACCGCTGGAAGACGAGGAGGCGTGGTTTCATCCGGCTGCGGCCCCGCTACAACGAGCACGCGCTTCAGCCAGAGGTCTGCCCTTTCTTCCCCCGCCTGGCTTGGGCGGACCGCCTTCCTGCCAAGTCGTCAGTTGCTTCTTTTCTGTCGTCCTCGAGGGCCCGACTCCTGCCAATGTCCCCCTTCGGTTGCCCCAGCGCTGACCGTGGCGATCGCCCAGACACCCCGGCGTCGTGGATCCTCAAGTGTCAGCCTCTGGGAGCCAGCCTCCGGCGCCACAAGACGCCCGAGATTTGTCCGCCGCGGAAGATCCAAACTCAGGGTGCAGGGTCGAGAGCTCCGCGAACAAAAGCACCGCGTCGGAGGCCACCAGGCGGGCATGCGATGAGGATCCATCGCTCGAGAGCTCCGAGTCTACAGAGGCGCCAATACCGCTGGACTTGTGTCGTGCTCGCCCTGTTGGACCTCCCGGGAGGCCCTCGTCGCCGCGGCTGGATTCGCCTCGAAACCCTGGCAAGGTCGTACGGTAGGTCTGCGTCGTGTCGACCGGCGGCGACCCCGCCGCCGACGTTCAACGTTGAACGCCGGCGGCGGCCCAGAATCGGTCGATGTTGAACGATCGGACGTTGCGGAAATGGCCGATCGTTCAAGGTTGAACGATCCAGCGCGGTGTCAGGAACCAATGCCGGGGTCGGCACGACACGGACCTGCCGTACACCATCTTGTCCCCCCCCAGGGGCGCTCTAGACCGCTGTCAGCGCTGGCCCGGATCGCCCGGGGACGGCCGCGGCGCCCGACCTCGCCTCGAGGCCCGCCGGCTGTCACAGAGATCCCCGATGTATCCCTCTTCCTTCGCCGCCATTCTCCCTCCCTCCCTCCCTCCCTCCCTCCCCCCCCTCCTCCTCCTCCTCCTCCTCCTCCTCCTCCTCCTCCTCCATGCTCATCTTGCTCATCCCCTCTCCCTCCTTATCCTCCTCCTCCTCCGCCTTCCCCTCGTCCTCCTCATCCTCATCCTCCTTCCGAATCTGTCCTTGTGCTGGTTGTATCAGGCCTGTTCTGCCCCTCCTCCCTCGCTCCCTTAAAGGTGCCCCCGCTCTGTGCACTCACGAGAAAGACGCTCGGGGAGGGCACGAAGGTCGTCCTCGATCAGGACCCCGCCTTGCTCACCGCTGCCGTCGTGGGAGAGCAGTGCATACAGGCAGGGCTCGGAGCTTGACAGAACCCGCAGACCTCCGACGACGTGAGTCTTACCATCGCGGCGTGCTTGTTCCTTCCAATTCGCACTAGTACCAGGGCCGCTTTTCGGGCCCCAGGATCAGACATGCATCCAGGACCCAGCACCAGCTCCATGGAAGCGGTGGGGAGCTCTGGGGCCCTGCGACGGACCCAACACACTTGCATCAAGTGACAAGAGAAGTTGGTCCAGTACTATGGCTGTTGGCAACAGAGGAACTGTCATTGGTTCTGCACTGCCAGTTTCGGTTTCGCCGTCGGCCCGCTCGGCTAACTCGGCAGTGTTGTCGCGGTGGACTGTTTAGGCGACCCGTCCTCCTCATCCTCCTACTCCCTCCTCGTCCCTCCTCATCCTCCTCCTCCTCCTCCTCCATCTCCTCCTCCCCATACCCTTCCTCCACCTTCTCCATCTCCTCCACCCCCTCGCCCTCCTCCACCTCCTCCTCCTCCTCCTCCTCCTCCTCCTCCTCCTCCTCCTCCTCGGGTCGCCTACGGCCCCGGGGAAAACCGTGCATCGCTTCGGTCGGTTATTGCGCCGTTGCTGCGTCGCTGCGCCCTTCCCCAGGTTGCCTGCAGCCTGTCAAGTCTTGTTTTTTCGCTGTCGGCCCGCTCGGTTATCGGCAGTGCTGCCGCGGTGGACGGAATCGGTTTCCAGGGTCGTCCAGGTGTCAAGCAGTGGCGAAGCGTCTTAGCTTGCCTATAGGCCTACCTAAAGACTGTGCTAAAAACCTTTAGATGTTTCTACGAAATGTTCTTAGAACAGTTCTGGCCGGGACTGTTTTGTTGTCACACGTCGGCTTTGTGTGATAAGAAAATTGATTGTTTGATTCGAACATCTGTGGGTTCTAAGAACATTTGGTGGTAGGCATGTAAGAACGCCAGGACGGTCGGTCCCTGCTCAAAGGTGACATTCTTCGTCGGCATACTGAGGGGCGCGGGCATCGTGATCGGGGAGGGCGCGCGCGCGGAGCGCCACCGCGTGCTCGGCACGAAGGTGTTCCGGCCCGCCGCGGGCCCCGAGCAGACCCACACGCGGACGCACGACCTGGTCCTGTACCTGGAGAAGGGCCTCAGGTCAGAGGTGGAGGGTCTCTCCGAAAGGCTTAGGCGACCCGTCCTCCTCCTCCTCCTCCTCCTCCTCCTCCTCCTCCTCCTTCTCCTCGTCCTCCTCCTCCTCCTCCTCCTCCTCCTCCTCCTCCCTCCTCCTTCTCCTCCTTCTTCCTCCCCACCCTCCTCCTCCTCCTCCCCCTCCTCCTCCTCCTCCTCCTCCTCCTCCTCTTCCTCCTCCTTCTCCTCCTCCTCCTCCTCCTTCTCCTCCTCGCCCTCCCCTCCTCGGGTCGCCTACGGCCCCAGGGGAAGCCGTCCAGTCAGAGGAGGGAAAGGTATCGATACCGATTTTCGTCCTGGAGAGTCCTCGTCGCCACGACCGGATTCTCCTCGAGATTCTGGACAGAGCGCCCGGGTAGCGGTCTTGGGAGTAGCGGCATCGGTACCCTTCCGTCCAACCTCGCAGGCACAACCACGGCGCCCGCACCCGCGTGGTGCTGGACCACGGAGGCGTGGAGGGAATGGCGACGCTGATCGTCCTGGGCGTCATGCTCGTGGCCTTCGTGGTGACGGACCCTCGAGGAGAGGATAGGAGTACCCCCTGTGGGAGACCTGAGAGGAAGGGAGAGAGAGGGGCGAGGAACAGGGGAGTCTCCTCAAGGGAGGGGAGGGAGAAGGAGGAGGGGCGTCCACGACAGTGCAGGAGGATGAGAGGACTGAGCAGGTAGGAGTACGAGCAGGGGGACGAGGGGGAGGAGGAGCGTCGAGCAGAGAACGATTCCTGCAATACACCGGGGCTTCAGGGCCGCACTTCGGGGCGCACAGGGGCGTGTCTTGGTGCACGCCGTGGGCAGATGCGTGGCCCCTGCAGCGTTTCGATGGGGGGGCACGCCGCGGCCTCGCAAGAGTGCGCTGACTGCACACCTGCACCGATCCTGGCCAGGCTGATCCCGTGGTGAGGATCGGAGCGTGTGTGGCGCCCTCTGCAGGCCAGGAGGGCGTATACGCCGATCCTGGCTTCGGTTGCAAGTCATGTCATGGGATCCTCGTATGCCATCGAAATCGTGTCTTCTAAAAGCACGGGGGTGCGCTAAGAAGGCGCCGTTTCAGCTTCGACGTAGCGCCGCTTAGCGCCCCTCAGCGTCGCTTTCGCGTTGGTTCGCGTCGATTCGCAAGAGCCAGCCAGATGGCACAAGAGGCTCCCATGAGCTGCCACCGAGCATGCCCCCCGGGAGGGGCCTGGCCAGGACCGTTGTGCGGGAGGAGCCCCACGCAGCAGAGTGGCACGCTCCGCGGCCTGCAAGACACAGCATGTCCCTGCGGTCCTCGGGGGCGGGCGGCTGAGACAGCGCCGGCTCTTCCGCCGGGCCCAGAGCCGCTCAGGTGCGGTCCCGCGGCCCTTCCCGATGTCCATCCGCCGTTCGAGGCGGTTCCGGCCTGGTCGACGAGAGGCCCTCGGGAGGCCCAGGAGGAGTGGCAACGCGCAAGACAGGGCCACCGCTGTCTCGACCGCCCCCTTCTCGGAGAGCAGGACCTCGGGCTCGTGAACGCCATGAACGGGGCCCTCAGCGTCGCCGTGATCATCGGGATCGTGCCGGGGGCAGCGGGGTTCTACCTGAACCGGCACTGGGTGCACGAGGTCGGCGCCGGGCCTGGCCGGCGGCTGCCCCTGACCGTCAGGTTTAAGCCGCTGTCGGTGCTGCTGGCCTTGATCGGAGCTCGGCGAGCGCACCAAGGGTCGTGGCGCAAGGGCGGGTGGCCTTCGAGAATCGCTGTCTTACAGAAGCAACAAATGAGTTATCCCGGCAGAGCAACCTAACAGCGATGTGTATAATCATATCTGGAAGCATTCCCCTTAAGATTTAGGTGAGAGTCCAGTTGTAGAAGTCTGCTGTTCTCGCAGTCGCAGCCTCAGCCTGCCTCGGCTTCCCTCGGCCTCAGCCTGCCTCGGCCTCAGCCTCAGCCTCAGCCTGCCTCAGCCTCAGCCTCAGCCTGCCTCAGCCTCAGCCTGCATCAGCCTCAGCTTCAGCCTGCCTCAGCCGCAGCTTGCCTCAGCCACAGCCACAGCCACAGCCTCAGCCTCAGCCTCAGCCTGCCTCAGCCTGCCTCAGCTTCAGCCTCAGCCTCAGCCTGCCTCGGCTTGCCTCGGCCTCAGCCTGCCTCAGCCTCAGCGTCAGCCTCTCAGCCTCAGCCTGCATCAGCCTCAGCCTCAGCCTGCCGCAGCCTCAGCCTCAGCCTCAGCCGCAACTTGCCTCAGCCTCAGCCTCAGCCTCAGCCTCAGACTCAGCCTGCCTCAGCTTCAGCCTCAGCCTCAGCCTGCCTGGGCTTGCCTCGGCCTCAGCCTCAGCCTGCCTCAGCCTCAGCGTCAGCCTCTCAGCCTCAGACTGCATCAGTCTCAGCCTCAGCCTCAGCCTCAGCCTCAGCCGCAACTTGCCTCAGCCTCAGCCTCAGCCTCAGCCTGCCTCAGCCTCAGCCTCAGCCTCAGCCTGCCTGGGCTTGCCTCGGCCTCAGCCTCAGCCTGCCTCGGCCTCAGCCTCAGCCTCAGCCTTCCTCAGCCTCAGCCTCAGCCTGCCTCAGCCTCAGCCTGCATCAGCCTCAGCCTCAGCCTGTCTCTGCCGCAGCTTGCCTCAGCCTCAGCCACAGCCTCAGCCTCAGCCTGCCTCAGCTTCAGCCTCAGCCTCAGCCTGCCTCGGCTTGCCTCAGCCTCAGCCTGCCTCGGCCTCAGCCTCAGCCTCAGCCTTCCTCAGTCTCAGCGTCAGCCTCTCAGCGTCAGCCTGCATGAGCCTCAGCCTCAGCCTCAGCCTGCCTCAGGCTCAGTCTCAGCCTGCCTCAGCCTGCCTCAGCCTCAGCCTGCATCAGCCTCAGCCTGCCTCAGCCTCAGCCTCACAGTTGGCTCCGGGCAATCAAAATGTAGCCTGGGAGTGATGTTCTGGGAACACGAAGAACACGAAGTGGCCTACAGTTGGCTCGGGGCATTCAAAATGTGGCCCGGGAATGGTGTTCTGGGAACACGAAGAACACGAAGTGGCCTACAGTTGGCTCCAGGCATTCAAAATGTGGCCCAGGAATGGTGTTCTGGGAACACGAAGAACACGAAGTGGCCTACAGTTGGCTCGGGGCATTCAAAATGTGGCCCGGGAATGGTGTTCTGGGAACACGAAGAACACGAAGTGGCCTACAATTGGTTCCGGGCATTCAAAATCATGCCCAGGAATGGAGTTCTCGGAACTCGAAGACCACGAAGTGCGTTATTGTTTGCTTAAAACGAGTTCCCCGGCATCTCCCCCGCATCCTCCCCCGGATCGCGCCCAGACCCCCCTGGGGCGTCATGATGCTCTCTTTTGACCCTACTAGAAACCTATCAGTCTTCGCTGTTAGGTAAAAACAAAAAGGAAACAACAAACAAAAACTCCATACCTGGCATGTGCCGGGCCGTCCTGCGCGTTTGCCCAGCAGCCCGTGCTTGTCCGATCCCTTCTTTTTGGGTACGCTTGCCGATGGGCTCCGCTCGTCGGGGTGCTCTTCATGGGGGGAAGGGGTTCCTCTGCCCGCCGAAGAAGGCAGGGGGTCATGCTGAGGAGGCAGGGGGCCTCTTTCAGGAGGAGAAAAAACACACACACACAATTAATCGTCGAGTTCCCAGAAAATATAGGAAAATATAGGAAATGGGGGCGAAGACATAACCCAAATGGGAAAATATTTGGAATCTGGTTATTTGTGTCTACTTATTTGCGTGTCCCAGTTCCCCTTCACTCTTGGGGACCCTCCTGACTTTTGCGATCCTGGCTTCTGAGAGTACCAGGTGGCAGCATAGCCATATCCCTGTGCTTGGCATCATCCTACCTCGGTGCTGATCTCAGGGATTCCTTCAGTTTCTGGGGGCACATCCCTAAGGTTGTCATCGCCTTGGGCTTGCCGATTTCAGGGATAGGGATAAGTTCGAGGCTGGAGATGGGAAACCTTCTAGCCCCTGCCTCCGCAGAAGGCCCCCCCGCCATCTCAGAAGGTCGTCCCCCGAGCGCCAAACCCCCTCGGTGCGCGCCGTCAACAGGAGTTGTCGTCGGCGTCGCGGCCGCGTTCTTCACGGACAACCAGAGCAGCGAGTTGACGTCCAGCTGCGCCCTGCTGGCGTGACGGGCTCCCAGCGGCCGCATTGGCCGTCCTGCGCTCCGTTCCGTCTTACGATTTTCCGACTCTCTCCTTGTTCCCCTCCCGCTCGCATCCCTTTCGGTCTCTCCGTCGCCCCCCGTGCTGCACACATCTGCAATATGCCGGAATGCCGGGGCCACAGGCCCACGACCAAGATGAGGGGCCACATGCGAACCTTACCCCAGCCCTTACCCCCCACGCCTACCCCCCACGATTACTGGGGGGAGGGTGGGGTTCACTCCGTTCGGGAGCTCCCGAGCAAAGTGACCCCCACCCTCCCCCTCAGAAATCGTGAGGGGTAGGGGTAGGGTTCGCATGTGGCCCCCTACAAGACCCCCCCCCCCCGAAGTTTCCCCCCCTCCCTTTCGAGCATCCCCCCCTCTAGGGCTCCCCGGCCCCCCCCCCCAACGAGTGGACCTCCCAGACCGCCAGCAGGCCCCCAAGAAGCTACCAAGAGCAAACACGTTCCCAAGAAGGTGGCCCCCAAAACAGCCTCCGAGCCCCAATAGTCTTCAGATCTTGCTCCCAGAGGCGCCCAGACAGCACGCCACGAGACCCCATCATTTATCCCAGAAGCCTCTGACCCGCAACCCAGGCACGGTGGCGGTCTGAGCCGAATGCCAGTAGATCCGCCGCCCCCTGCCGATTCATCGCAGGGGTGCCTGGTGTGCTGGATTCTCTCGGTTTTGGCTTTGGTTCTTTTTCCAACAGAACTCCCCTTGGCGCTTCGGCCCGTCCCGCCGGGGTCCCGGGAGGCCCCTCTAGGAACGCAAAGTTCAGGCAAAATCCTCCAAGACGGCTCAAGATGGCGTCCAAGATGGCCAAGATGGCCCAAGATGGCCTCCAAGATGGTCCAAGATGGCCTCCAAGTCCGCTCAAGATGGTCCAAGACGGCCTCCAAGACGGCCCAAGAGAGTCCACGACGGCCCAAGACGGCCCAAGAGACCCCCCAGAGGCTTCCAAGACGGCCCAAGAGGCATCCAAGAGGTCCTCCAGGAGGGCCCAAAGATGCCAAACCCAATGATTTCCCTTAGATGTTTGAAGGATTTGGGGATTTGCTTCTTCTCGGCATTCCGACGGCTCAAGACGGCCCAAGAGGCCCCCAAGATCGCCCAAGAGGCCCCCAAGAGGGCCCCATGACAGCCCAAGTGGCCTCCAAGACGGCCCCAAGAGGGCCCCCCCAAGACGGCCCAAGGGGCCTCCACCACGCCCAAGATGGCCTCCAAGACGCCCAAGATGGCCGCCAAGACGGCCCCGAAGCGCCCCAAGAGGGCCCCAAGTCGGCCCAGAAAGGCTCCCAATACGGCTCCCGACGGCGTCAGGCGTGCCAGGAACCCACCAAGATGGCCGAAATTGGTTCAAAGCTGGCCCAAGAGGCCCCAAAGAAGGCCTCCAGGAATGCCAGAAGATGCCAAAACATTGATTTCCTAAGGTATTGGACGGATGTTGACATTTGCTTCTTTTCGGCCTTCCGACGGCCCGAGACGGCCCAAGAGCCCCCACATATCGCCAAAATATCGCCCAAGAGGCCTCCAAGATGGCCCCAGCACGGCCCAAGAGGGCCCCAGGACGGCCCCAAGAGGCCCCCAAGACAGCACCGAAGGCCTTTAAGGCGGCCTTGGAGCATTCCAAGAGGGTCCCAAGTCGGCCCATAGAGGCCCCCCAAACGGCTTCCGACGGCGTCAGACGGACCAGGAGCCCACCAAGACGGCCGAGCATGGCCCTAAGATGGCCCAAGACGGCCCAAGAGGCCTCCAAGAGGACCTCCAGGAAGGCCCGAAAAGGCCAACATCCTTGATTTGCAATGGTTTTTGAAGGATTGTGGCATTTGCTTTTTTCTGCCTTCCGACGGCCAGAGACGGCCCACGTGCCCACAAAGATCGCCCAAGAGGCCCAAGACACGGCCCCAAGAGGCCCCGAAGACGGCCCAAGAGGTCTGCAAAACGCTCAAGCTGGCCTCCAAGACGGCCCAAGAGCCTTCCAAGACGTCCCCCAAGAAGGCCCGAAAGGGTCAGAATGGCCTCCAGGCGGTCAAGATGACCTTCAAGATGCCCACGTGTTCCCCGAAGGCTTTCCAGACCGATTCGGGGAACACATGGTCCGATAGCTTGGCAGGCCTCTGGCCACAACCTTCGGCCACATAGGCGCTTCCAAAAGGCAGGGGGCGGCGGTGATTCGCTGTAGGCGTCTTCGATCCGCCGCCCCCTGCTGATTTATCACAGGGGTGCCTGGCGTGCTAAACTTCAGGTTGTTGTTGTTGGTTCGTTTGAATACTCCGCCTGGGGCTTTGGCGTAGCGCGCTGACCACCTGGAAGGCCGCACAAGTTACCCAGATGGTTGCTTTTGTCGTTACTACATGGCCCAAGGTAGATCAAGATGGCTTCCAAGGCGGCCAAGATGGCCCTAATATGGTCCCCAGATGCACCCAAGAAGGTTCGAGATGCACCCAAGACGGCCAAAGATGGCCTCGAGATAGCCCAGGACGGCCCGAGAGGCCCCCAAGAGGCCTCCAGGACGGGCCGAGAGGCTTCCCAAAGGGCATCCAGGAAGGCCCAAGAAGGCACAAATCATGACTTGTCCGTAGGTGTTCGAAGAAGTTTAGTTGTGAGTTCTGTCCGGCTTTCCGACGGCCCAGGACGGCCCAACATGCCCCCACGATTGCCTTAAGATCGCCCATGAGGTTTCCAAGATGGCCCCATAATGGCCCAGAAGGCTTCCAAGACGGCCCCAAGATGGCCCCCAGACGGCCCCAGACAGAGGCCTCCAAGACGCCCAAGATGGTTTCCGAGACGACTATTTAACACCTGAAGAGGGCCCCAAGTCGGGTCAGAGAGGCCCCCAAGACCCCTTCAGCTGGCGTCTGGAGGGCCAGGAGAGCAGTAAGACTGCCAACGAGGCGCCCAAGAATCCCCCGAAGGCACCCAAGAGGCCCAAGGAGGCCCCCGAGAGGCCCAAGGAGGCCCACAGGAAGCTCCCAGGAGGTCCCAAGAGTGCCCCAAGTGCCTCCCAAGAGGCCTCCTCCTCCATCTCCTCCATCACCTCCTCCTTTTTCCTCCCTCTCCTCGTCCCCCTCTTCCTTCCCCCACGTGTACCTCGAAGGGTTTCCACAAGGGCTGGGGGAACGCATGGTCCAATAGCGTGCCCACACTTTGCCCAACCGTTTGGCCACATAAGCGTATACGAAAAGACAGGGGGCGGCGGCGATTGGCCGTGGGCGTTTTCAATACGCCAACAATCAGCCTGGCGAAGGACGCAACCCTTGACAGTCACGTGTAGCGCAGGGCGTGGCCCTCGCTTCATATACTGCGCGCCGAGGGGCAGTGCGGATAGGGGGCTGCTGCGGAGCAAGCATGCGCAGGCACGCTGAATTTCCTTATTGAGCACGGCCCGCCTGAAGGGGGTGCCGAGCAATGTGGATGCACACGGGGGAACACGCCGACTGACGCCGAATATGGAGCTCCCTGTGGGGCACGACCTGTGCAACTCATGTGCCGCAATGGGTGGAGGGACGCCATGCGAAGTTTCCCACTGGTGCCGAAGGTGGAGCTCCTTGCGGGGCACGATCTGCGTGAGGGGCGGGTTCTATTGCGCGAGCCTTGTCTCTGGAGCTGTGGGTGTTCCCTGTGGAGCACGATCCACATGAGGAGTGTGCCAATAACGTGTGGCAGTTCTCAGTCCCGGCCGCGTGGCTGATACGATAATCGATGCCAGAGATGCATGCGCACGATCATCCAGCAATTCTGTGATCATCAACCCCCCTGCCGCTCCCTCCTTGAATCCACGTCGCACCCATCGGCTGAGGAGCAGGAGGAGGAGGAGGAGGAGCGGAAGGAAGGTGGACCATGACCAAGCAAGCAAAACGAGGCGTCGGACAAGCGCGCTGCGCTCGGGCCCACGGGAGGGCCAGTGCGATCGGTAGTGGGCTGCGCGAACAGCGAGGAGGGACAGGGCAAGGCCGAGGAGGGCAGAGCTCGGAGCCAGGCGGCAGAAGCTCATCGATGCGACTTCTCCCAGAGATCGGGGGCGGCAAAGAGGGGGGTGATAACTAGGGGGGGGTGGACATCATGGCAGGGGCCATGATATTTCTCCTGATCTCATGGCGCCTCTTCTTATCTCATTACGTCCCTGGCCCCCCCGCTGGGCTGCGCACATGTCGCCGGTCATGATTTGCACCCCCCCCTCTTGGACACCCCCCTCTTGGCCGCTCCCGATCTACGGGAGGAATGTTCAAGAATCGTGAAAAGCAGGGCTGGGGACGAGTTGTGTCGAGCATTTCTGGATCACTTTTGGTTTTTGTTGTTGGGTCCCTTGTACGTTTCGTCGAGCATCGGCCTGTATGGGGGACATGCCCGACCCGAGGGCAACGCCCATCACCCGGGCCAAACCCCCCCGCCCCTCTACCTGGGTAACGCCAGGGACCTCACTGGGGGGGGGGGGCCTGGGTCGCCCACCCCCCCTGCATGCTGTGGTGCGCTCAGGCGACTGATGTGCGCCGGTGGCGCGGGCGCACCCTGGCGGGTGCACGCCGCGGCCACCGTTACCGTGACCCTCCCGCCCGAACTCAGAGCTCGAATCATCAGGGGTAACTCGGGTCAGGGTTAACTCGGGTTCGCGTTTCGGGAATCCAAACCCGAGTTACCCCGGACCCGAGTTACCCCGGATAACATGGGCGTCCAGAGCCCCACATCATCAGGGGTAACTCGGGTCAGGGCTAACTCGGGTTCCTTTTTTGGGAATCCAAACACGAGTTACCCTGGACCCGAGTTACCCCAGATAACTCGGGCGCCCAACGAACCGCCCCCCCCTCCCCCCCCCCAGGGTAACAGCCGTCGCACGCGAAAGAAAGCAAACGGTCACCACCGGGAGGTTCCCGCGAGGAGCTTCGGAGAGAGGGGGGGGAAGGAGGACGGCCAAGAGTCGGGGGGAGGAGAAGAGGGGGGGAGGGGAGGGGAGCACACGTGCGAACGGAGAATCCGACTCGGGTGAGCTGTCCCGAGGGCGTTTCACGGAGCATCGGCAGCTGAAACCGAAGCCAAAATTGAAGTTCACAGAAATGGAGAGGGCCCACCTTGTAGGTTTGGTTGA